CCCAGCTATGGGCCAGCCGGTGCTGAGCCCCCATCCCCCAGCGCCAAGCCCAACACCAACCAGTCCGTCACAGAGAAGCCCTTACAGCCCTGCCAGGAGATGCCTCCTGGCTTAGGTGAGATATGTGGGGTGAGAGTGGGGGAATTGGGCTCTGGCTTTGAGCATGGGGCTGAGTTGGGTGCTGGTGTGTGTCCCCTTTCCGCCTAGGCATAGGATTCCTTGTGGTCCCAGAGGCTGAGCAGTGGAGGGGCCACTGGAGAAAACCAGACCTGGAACTGGTAGCAGGATACCTGGTTTCTTCACGTTTTGTTTGCAGCTCGCCCAGGCTCTCTGTCCCTCTCTGGGAAGGGTGTCGGGCATCCCCCATCCTCACTAGTGCTAGTGCCCCTTGCAGGGTTGCTGTTTGCTTTGCCAGCCTGGCTGGGAGAGGTGGATGGCCAGGACTGCAGTTGTGGCACGGCTGATCCTGATCCCCAGCTGCCTCGTGTGCTGTTGGCATCACCCTGCCCTCGCTCTTGCAGTTGGGAGGCTGCTCATCGAGTTCAGCTCCCCCATGACCATGGAGCGGGTACAACGGGAGAACCCCGACGTGCGCCAGGGTGGCAAGTATACCCCCCCAGATTGCCTCCCCCGGCAGAAGGTGGCCATCCTCATCCCCTTCCGGCACCGTGAGCACCATCTCAAGTACTGGCTGCACTACCTGCACCCCATCCTACGCCGGCAGAAGGTGGCTTACGGCATCTACATCATCAACCAGGTGAGTGGGGCAGGGACAACGGGGCTGGTGGGGCTGGGACAGGCATGCAGGCACCGCTGAGCTCTGCGGCCACATGCTCTGCTCTGCAGTATGGCGAGGACACCTTCAACCGGGCCAAGCTGCTCAACGTGGGGTTCCTGGAGGCGCTTAAGGATGACGAGGAGTACGACTGCTTCATCTTCAGTGATGTGGACCTCATCCCCATGGATGACCGCAACCTGTATCGCTGCTACGAGCAGCCACGGCACTTTGCTGTTGGCATGGACAAGTTTGGGTTCAGGTTGGTGCCTGTGGGGCTGCAGCGTTCCCCTGGCTCCCCAGGCAGGCATGGGATGACCTTGCAGGGCTAACACGGGCTTACCTGCTGCTTATTGCCTGGGGCAAGCGTGGGGGTCAGTGGCTTGAAGTGTGGACATGGGATGGCAGAGGGCACAGAGCCCTGCGTGGAGGAGCCTGCAGGGAAGGGCTGGTGCTTGTCCCAGGGGTGCAGGTCCCCTTGAGGCTGGCCCTCTTCCCAACCTTCTCCTGGGGGCTGATCTGTGTTCCTTCACCCTGCAGGTTGCCCTACGCTGGCTACTTCGGGGGTGTCTCCGGGCTGAGCAAGTCGCAGTTCCTGAAGATCAATGGCTTTCCCAACGAGTACTGGGGCTGGGGGGGAGAGGACGATGATATCTTTAACCGGTGGGTGCCACCCCCCCAGCCAGCATTGGCTTAGGACTTGTAGTGGGAGTATTGGGGTGTGCTGGGGTGCCCTGCTGAGTGCCGGCCTGGCACTGTCACCAGCCCTGGAGCTGCTGGGATCACAGGGGACTTGGTGGGTCCCTGCCACGCAGCAAGGAGGAGGTTGCTTGCCCACAGCCCTGGGACCCTCCAGGCCTTGGGGAGCTGTGTGGTCATGGCTGGCAGGGCTGATGACTGTCACACTTGTGCCATGGATCAAACTGGCCTGTCTGAGGGCATCGGAGAGCAGGGAGGCTATCTGTGTTCCTTGTGGGGCAACTTACCCAGCGTGGTGCGGCCCAGCCCCTTCCTGCCACTCTTTGGGGGCCGCATGCCATTGCTTCAAGCCAGGTTGAGCTGTGTGAGCGGGAAAGCGGGACTGTGGGCTCTGCTCCACCCTGGGATCTGTATGAAAACTTGAAAGTGGCTCTGTGGTGGCCTCTCAGCACTGAAACAGGCACTTCTTCTGGCAGCCGGCAGGCTGCAGCAGATCTGTATGCAGATCTGTCTCCGTGGCTCTGTCCCAGCATGCACACTCTGCGTTTAGTGCGGGAGTTGGAGAGCTTTAACACTATTTCCAGTGCTCCCCATAACACTGCCCAGCTGCGCTGGCCGCGGCGGGTGTGGCTGGTGGTGCACAAAGGGCCTTTAAGGGTTGTGTGAGCTAAAAGCCCCTTGCAGGTGCTGTGTGTGCAGGCGAAGAGCTTGTGGCTTCTACTCAGAAGTAACTGCTGCAATGAGATGGTCTCGGGGGCTTTCTGCGGAAGGAGGGCGCAGCGTGCCAGGCACTTGGAGAGATTTAGGCAGCCCTTAAAATGTGCAGAGGGCCGCGAGGGGGCCTGAGTCACCACATAGCTGCCTGGTATCTGAGCCTTTGAGCACACTCACTCATCTGGCCCAAGGGTGTCATGTTGCTTGGGACCAGGAGAGGTTTCTATTCACAAGCTGAGAAACTCTCCTGCTTTCCTGCTCCCACTTGGCCTCTCAACTTTAAATGAACTATTTTTGGAGAAGAAACTCTTCCCCCACCTGCTGGCTGCGCAGACAGAGAAACCAATTGAGGCCAGAGTTGTGCTGCACAAAGGGCACCGGCATTTGGAGAATGTAAACAGCAGTGGCCGCAGAGCTGTGGAGGAATAGCGGTGTTTGCTTAGCGCAGGCCGAACACAGCAACGTGTCTGCAGAGCTGGAGGTCGCCTGGAGTGAGCAGCACTTCCTGTGCTCTCTGCTGCACAGCAGGCAGCACCCCTGCCCTGGGCACTGCTGCAGCTGCAGCCTGGCTTTGCTTGACTCAGTCTGGCCTGCGCAGAGCAGGCTTAGCACACACTTGTTTCTCATTTAACTATGAACAGGTTTGTTTTTAATGGTGGGGGGGAAGTGTGTGTTGTATAAAAGCCACATGTGTAGCTGTGCAGTCAGGCCTGCTTGGGGGGCTTCAGGTGAAGGGTCACAGCTGGGCCCCCTGTGGACATGGGTTTTGGGTGCCCCGGTAGCCCAGCCTGCCCCGCACCAGCCCCGCTCACAGCACAGGAGGGTGCTTGGCCAGGCTCTGGCAGTCCTCGGGATGGTGTGTGGGAGACAAGGGTTGTCCCTGGAGGTCTCTGGGCTGGGGATGTGTCCTACCCTGGTGCCCGTGGGTGCACGCTGACCTCCCGCTCTGCTCCCATCCCCAGGATCTCCCTGAATGGCATGAAGGTGTCAAGGCCCGACATCCGCATCGGGAGGTACCGCATGATCAAGCACGAACGCGACAAACACAATGAGCCCAACCCGCAGAGGTGAGCTGCAGGGGCTGGGGGGCGCCAGGACGCCTGGGCTCTCTTTATGAGCTGTCGCTGTGCTGCCTAGGGTCAGTTGCCCCTCATGCTGCGTGGCCAGGGGGCTCCCTGCTCTGCTCACACACGCCAAGGTCCTGCTGTGGGCAGGCTAGT